CTTGGGGATAAATTTATAAACATGACTATACAAAATGAGTGAATTCTTCAAAATACTTGGGAGATCATTTGCCCACAGAACTGATGACAATCCAGAAAAAGCATTTTAAAAAAGTAAGTTGAAAAAAATGGAAAAAATCACAAAACCTAAAAAAAATTCATTTGAGAACAGTGAGGGAAGTCCTAGGTTTAATTTAAAATGAATAGGTAAATCTACATAAGGCCCTTCAGAAACAGATGGAGTAAGATTAAAAGTAATACTATCAGGAGTGATGGTAGCTATTTTATGAGACAAGCTCTTCAGTTCAAAATATCCCCATCATATCAGACACTCAGAGTTGATGCTACTCAAGAGATTTGTTCAGTCACTTGCTTAAAACAGGACACTAATACGGAAACACTTCTATTTAGAATGCATTCCATAAAACAAATTTCACGTACGTGAAGAGCAGCCCTTCTCCACGTACTCATCCAGCCCAACTGTAGATTCGCCAAGTCTGAATGACGTACTTATCACTGTGTCTTTGGCAGGGGACCTGGGAGCCTTACTGGGAACTGTGAAGACACATCCAGCAAGCCTGTCAAAACAGGGACTGTTCACACATAGCAAAGAGGATGAGACAGAACCATCCTCATACGACTTCTATGGTTGCACCAGCAATCTATAGGAACAGTAGAAAGGCATTAAAACAGCTCCTTGCTCCACTGTAGGAGGATGACAGCTTGTCAGGATGCTGATCTTAAGTTTTTTCTAAAGCACAAAGTAGATGTGCTTCATCTCTAAAAGAAGGCAGCACTCCTGTTGGTGGGATGTGGATTTCTACTGTTACCACTTAGAGCTGGCACCATTTGTCTGCTCAGCAAGTCTTGCACTTTGATGCTGGTTCGACATACATCACATAAGTAGCACTGGTTCCACAGCATGATAAATCCGTTGTTCATCAGGACAATATGGCAGGATTGAGGGATGAGCGAGTGCTCTTTTGCTTGATTATGTTATGATGCAGCTTTTTTCAAGCCTGTAGTACCACTCTAGCTACTCTTGGAATATCTCCAAGACCACGAAAATTATAATTTGCTGCCAGCCAGGCACACGAACACACTTGGCTTGTGGACACACCACAGAGCAGTTGGCTATAGAAGTTGGTGATTCTGCTTTTCTCTCTTCAATGTCAACAGATTTTTAGAAGTCTGCAATACATCAAGTTCGACAGCAGGGATATAGATTTCTCCCTCAGTGCAGTGATGAGGATTCTTTACCAGGTGTGAAAACAAAAGTTTGTTCAATTCAAATTGAGGATGCTGTCATGATCTACCAGTACTGGGCTGGTATTGCAGTCAGCTGGTTGACTGCATGAAGTGGGTAGTCCCAGCTGTATTTCAAACAGGGTAAATCAGATGTTAGGCACATCTTCAGAAAAGGACATCTCTAAACACCTTAATTACAGATATCTAGAAAGCCTGGTAGCCCAAATCATGCATTAGTAGTTTTTAAAAATACCTGGGATTAGTCTGTTTAAAATGAGATAGCTCAGAATTCAGAGAGTACTTGCTCAGACTAAGTTCTGCCCACACCTTTTACATTCATAGCAAGGGTTGATTAAAACAATTCAAGTGCCAGGTCTAAAAATCTAGGCTCAGCCCCTAACCAGCTTCCACCAAATGTTCATCTCTTTAGTACATTCCCAAATAGGCAATATAGCTCTTGAGATCTAACTCATCAAGAGAATGATTCTTCAAATGGTTTGGGTTAGAAGGGACCTTTAAAGGTCGTCTAGTCCAACCTCCCCTGCAATGAGTAGGGACTTCTTCAACTAGATGAGTTGTCCTCTCATAGTAGAGAAATCTGATTCCCTGCCAGCAGTGAAAGCCTCTTTATAGATCAAACATAGGAAGCTACACACCAGGTTTATACTATGCACACCTGTAACCAACAAGCACCTTTTTAGTACTCTAGTTTTGCACACACCATCCCGCAGCGTAAACTCTCCTCATGATGCAAATTAGCCTAGAGTGAAGCAGCATTGAATCTTCAGATACCAGACTGTCTAAAATCTGGGTAGTGTTGAGCTCTGTGGTGCAAGCTCTAAATTATTCTGCACATCTAGCACATGCAAGAGTCTTTTCTCTCAACCTTTGTCTTGTCTATGAAAAATTGCTGCTTCAAACACACTCTTTTTCAAGAGATGTCAGCATCTCACAGCATATTGTCAGATATATTTGGACAGGCTTTAAATAGCACAAGGCCAAGAATCACATATTAAAATAGTATGTAAAAAAAAAAAAAAAAAAAAGTCCTTTATCATTAAATCTCCTAACCCTGTGCTCAAAGCTAGTTCAGGAAAGATGCAATCCAGCTTCTGACAGTACCCTTCTGCTCCCTATCAGAAGCAGGGACATGACTAGTTAAGCCCAAAAACCATTCTACAATAATTGCATTGATCAAGTATTAATTTTTCAGGAATGCATTTTTAAATACATAAAAACTACTGTCATGTTCAAGTCCATTCATTAAAAGGATTTTTTTGTTGTTTTTTTTTTTTTTTAATTTCTTTATGAACTGGGAAGGAAAACCGTTTGCTTTGTACTTGTCCAAAGTACTTTAAGCACAAACCAGCATGTTCCAAATCACCCAGGATCTGATGTCCCTTCAGTTTTCAGTAGGAACTACACCCCTCATTTTTTAAAATCCTACGGTAAAATAATCCTCTTATCAGTGTCTACGCAACTTGAAAGGCATATTTTTCTAGTCAAGGATGTTAGTAAAACTAACATTATTTCTTCAAGATCAGTTTCTGAATAAAGTACCTGCTTCATCATTGGGAAAATGAGGATGTCTCTGGAGCTAACGTTTTATAATTGTGATACTTTTTCTCCATGCACTAAAGAGATATGTCCATTGTTAAGAACTTAACTTTCAGGTTCAAATAAGCAGCTGTTCTACATTCAGGACTATGAACATCAGAACAGAGGAGAACACTTTTTACAATAACTTGAATTTTTCTTCTCTGTCCCATTCTAAAAGAATATTCCACGCAAATCAGATAAACCTGCCGTCAGCATCTTGATTATTTCTGTTTGGAAAGGATGCAAAGTCAGCAGGCAATAAGCACGTAGATTTGCACCATTCCAACTTAAAAGTTTAGAGAAGAAAAAGTACAACTCAAGTTGAAGACATGTAGGTGTGGTGCTTAAGGACATGGTTTAGTGATGGACTTGGCAGTGTTAGGTTTACTGTTGGACTTGAGCTTAATGGTCTTTTCCAACCTAAACCATTCTTTGATTATAAGTTTAGAATTAAGCGTATAATAGTAATATATATTATATATTAAATGTCAGAAACATTTCAGTCCCAGGACATTCCTTCAAATGCTTAATACAGCATTAAGTCCATAAACTGCAAGTTTAAGGTGGGGGGAGGACATCATGGACATTCACATTATTAGAAGTTCTTGCTGTCCTGACTCCAAAGTTCTCTCAGTTGAAGTGATATGCTTACTACTCAGGAGAATTTTCAAACTCTATATAGCTCACAGTAACATCGTGATTTATTTTTAAGCAGCTTCGCAGAAGAAGAGACGCTAATAAATCTGTATTTTACTTCCTTAAGGGAAGTTCAATACATTCTGGTGAAAAAAAACATATCCACACTTGAATTTCATCAGGAACTACATACATGTTCAGCTTCATGTTTGCTTTAAATATTCTCATAGTCTTTATCTTCACTCAAGACATTTGAATTCTCACGATAAGAGTTTTGACACCATTCTTCAAAATTGCTGCAAAAATTTAAGTTGCATATTTTGCATATTTTCTCTGGAGAAAAAGCTTGAAGTGGATTGAGTAGCCCTGCAGAGGACTTCAGGGTATTAGTGGAAAACTGACTGTGAGCCAGCAGTGTGCACTCAGAGCCCAGACAGCCAACCGCATCCCGGGCTGCATCAAGAGAAGTGTGGCCAGCAGGTTGATTCTCCCCCTGTACTCCGGTCTCATGAGACTGCACCTGCAGTATTGTCCAGCTCTGGGGCCCCCAATATTAGAAGGGCACAAATCTGCTGGAGAGGATCCAAGGGAAGCCACAAAGATGATCAGGGGGCTGGAACACTTTCCTTACAATGACAGGCTGAAGATATAGGGGTTCAGCCTAGAGAAAAGACGACTCCAGGGAGACCTTATAGCAGCCTTCCAGTACTAAAGGGGGTCTAAAGGAAAGATGGGGAGGGACTCCTTATCAGGGAGTGATGGGATGAGGTGTAATGGTTTATAAACTGAGAGAGGGTAGATTTAGATCTAAGGAAGAATTTCTTCCCTGTGAGGGTGGTGAGGCACTGGCACAGGTTGCCCAGAGCAGCTGTGGCTGCCCCCTCCCTGGCAGTGTTCAAGGCCAGGTTGGACGGGGCTTTGAGCAACCTGGGCTAGTGGGAGGTGTCCCTGCCCATGGCAGGGGGTTGGAACTAGGTGATCTTTAAGGTCCTTCCCAACCCAAATGATCCTATGAAAAAAGCAGATACATTTATAACAAGCAAAATTAAGATTCAACATTAATTAGCTGTTATAAGGGAGGGCCCCACATGTCCTTTTGGGTGAACACAGGGGGATCAGGAAACTTAGCAGATCTATGTGGCTTACCTCTAAAATCAGTCCTTGAGAAACAAAAATTCTCACCAATCCTCTAAATATATTGCCCTTTTCCTAGAGGTGAGTCTGGAAGGAAGCTATAAATATGATTTTGTTAATATGCTTAAATTATCTGTTTATTTCAAAGAAATAATCCTCTCTATAACTATAAATTTGATTGAAGTGCTATCAGTCATGCAATCTCTCTGAATAGGAGGATGTTAAAATTAGCCCAACTTCCAGATAATTTCTGTAACAACCACAACTCACTAAAGCTGGTCAAGAACACTAGAATTTCTGATACATTTAATTATCCAGAATTGGCAAGTATCTTAATTTAGAAGCAGAATTTGTTTTAAAATTTGGACTATTAACAGAAAATGATATCTTACCACAATCAAAACAAGGCTTTTATTTCTATTGAGAAGTAGTCAAAATACACATTTAGAGGAAAAGAAGTGATTCTTGGTTTCATTTCATAGCTTTATCTGCAAGAAAGCTGACTCTACAGAATGTTGCAAAAGAACAGATCTACACTCATGTAAGACACCAATATGAACTATATTCTTCAACCTAAGAGCCTGAAAAATGTTACAGCTTAAGTATTTCAAGTTATTTGCAACAATTTTAGAAAGGAATGAATCTCTTTCCTGTGCTTAATTTCACAAGCAGTGCTTTATTTCCCTATCCATACCTAGAACTGTTTCATTGCTGCTAGAATGGTTTGAATATCTATTCACACAGAGACAAATTACCTTCCACAATTAATCAGTTTCCTTAAACACTTCAACTCTAAGTCTGCTACAGACACCAGTAGTCACCAGTATTTTAGAATAAATCACATAGTTGTTTCTACACAGGGGTAATGTTTTTCAAAATGCTGTTGTAGGCCACCATCCAATTCAGGAATTCATATTAAGAGTCCAATAAAACACAGTTGTGAGCCCAAGAAATACAGTTTCTAAGCAGTAGAAAACATCTCAAAGAATCTGAAGAGTTATGTCTACACTGATTATTCAGAAGCAAAACCAGGAGCATTGGAAGGATTCATTAGTTTCTAACTTAAAATTGTCACGTTATCTGACCGTGAAGTTATCATTCTATGTGGCATGACTCTGGTACAGGTATGCTCTACCTAGTACATTCCTGTTTTCAATCAAGTCAAAGCAGAAAATACAAAAAGGTAGCTGATGTTTCTTTGCATTCTTTACCAAGAAAGGCTTTTCATCTGTTTCTGGCAATCAGCAGGAAATCTGTAGCGAACTGTCAGCTTTCAACTAAGAACCAAAACAGACAAGCTTTATTGTATTTATGATTTGTAACTCCAGATGAACTATCAATCACTGTAAAACAAGAAGCAAGATAAGAAGCCATTTGACATATATAATTGCTGAATTCTATTAAACATATTTCTGGTGACCACAGTTTATGCCTGACATGTCAACAAGATTTAAGGCTCACTAGTTTCTAAATATTCATCATCCTCCAGCATGGTAGAATAGGACTAGAAAAGTACAACAACAACAACAACAACAAAAATCTAACTTAAGCCAGCTCTGACAATAGCTTACACCTGTTCAGAAGTTTTGAAAGCTCACACTACAGAGATGGATTTGTAATATCATTCATATAATCAAAGCTGTGAAACAATTCTGATGCCTTAAGTGACTTTGGTCTAGAAAACTGAGATCTGCAAAGACTCAGTTAAAGATGTTAGATGTTTGTTTATAAGGTAGAATACTGTATTTAACATGACTGCAAAGTTCAAACTTGCTCTGAAACCTACAGAAAACTCTGGACTAACAGCTAAATGAGTGAACTACTCCAATCATACCAGTGCAGCCACAACAGGGATAACTTATGGAAGAAAAAGTAATTGTTTTATTTGCAAGTATTTTATGGAAGACATCACAAGAGAGATAGAAAATAATATACTGGAAGTTTTGTTTCTTAAAGTTCCTGCAAGCATTGATCAAAGCCAAGTATTTTAAACCAGGGCCATCTTAAATTTTACTGCCAGTTTTCTTCAAGTGATACTGGATGTATCAAATACAGTTGGTGAGTTCATCACTCATTAAACTTCAAAAACACCTCTACTTAATTTTAAAGGCACAATACAGTTAAAAATGTGTCAGGTTTCCATCACATGAAGTGTTAATTAAAATTCTTGAGTGTATATTCATCGTAAGTGCTCTAGTACATACAAAATCTTTTAAAACCTTGACAGTCAAATGGTTCATTGAACTCCTGAGATATTTTAGTGAAGATGTGGAAAAGGAAGAATAATTCTGGTAAATGCTGACAGTTATTTACTACTTGTATGACAGAAGGTGACAGTAAATATCTGAAACAACTTTCGAACTCTCATGCAGAAGCCTGCTTCTTGCTATCTGCAAGTAAGAATGGGCTCATTGGAAATCTGGTGAATACCTGGCTCAAGTGGTACTTAGTGAATCCCCAATTAAATATACTAGAGACAAAGCCACCAATTCAAAGGCGGATCACTGTATTTCCCCATATAGACTGTTTAGACAGGAATCAGGACTGGATTGGGAAGAAGCTGGAAATAAAGAAAAGCCCGGAAACAGGGGAGACCTATACCAACATATACCTAGGCATCTAAGCCTACATGCAACATGCAAGCAGCTATGTAGCACAAAACCAACAGGTTCCTGCCAATCTTCCCCAGACAAGCAGCAATCTCCCCAGTGAGAATTTAAGACAGAATGGATACAACTCTGCAAAACTGGGTATTGCAGTTCAATCTTACACCCAGAAAGACTAACAAAACTGTACATGATACAGCCAAAGAACAAAGTGATAATTATCACTGATAAAGCTGAAGATGAAATGTGAATAAGACCCACAAAAAGAGGGAGAAGTTCTGAGAAGTTAACTTTATTTAAATAATCTCAATTAAGTTTTTCATCAGGGCACGCACAAAGAAGAATACTTTAAGTTCTTGGTATCTTCTGGATGCAGCTTCCAGCCAGTCAACATCAGGTTCCACCTTCCATTTGAGTTACTTGAACTTCTTATAAACTACTCCTTGCAACCTTCAACAGTCATGTTTAAATAGTGTTGGGCTAATTCTAGTCAAAAGGGATCTCACACTCCCTAGTCAAGTTTAAGTACCTACTATCAGTGTTTGAATACATTTGTCCTTTCAAATGTCTCATTGGTAGCAAACTGACTGACTTCTATTAGTTGAGCAGACTTCACTGCATATTTGCAGATCGTGATCAAGCAATTCTTCCAGGTTGCCACATAAACATGTATATTATTGGAGCAACTGGCACAGAAGGCTTGTTAAAAGACTTCAGTGATGTTTGTTGCTGTAAGAGCCCCAACGCCTGTTCCTGGTGTTCATACATTAACTAAGCAACTCACCTAAGACTTCTTGAAATACCAAAACTAAATTAAAACTCCAAAGTTCCTGAGAGCCTGCTGTTTTTAAATACTGCAGGAAGCAGACTGTTTTTGAAATAACTGAATGAAAAACTATCAGTTTTAAGAGCTTGCAAACATGTAAGCAGACATTAATAATTTCCCTACATTTCAATAATTATTTAACACTGAGTCTTATAAAATGATTACCTAAGTTACATTTCCATGTGGTTGCATGGACTATAATTTCTCTCAGGTAGCATTAGAAGTTTAAAAATGTGTAAACATTTTCTCTTTCAGAGTCTGTCAAAGGCTATCTGGAGATATCTTTCAGCCTTAGAAATATAGCTCAGTAACTATATAGTTAAAAGAACATTACTTTACAAAAGACAACACAAAAGACAAAACCATTTCTGAAGTGTGTTTATACAAACATATTGGCTTGTAAACAAGTTGACCACATTTACATTAAATATTGAAAGAAAACTTCAAGCTAGACAATTTGCATTGAAGAGAAAAATAAGTTAAAAATTAATCACATCTTAATTATTCTGTTGGTTATTACTAAGTCAGGCACCTGGCAGTTTCAGAACCGATTTGTACTAAAACACTGCAACAATGCTGAATATTGTCCTCTACACTAATTATTTCCTTTGATAGAGCAAAAGCCACCTCACAGTTGAGGATTCCTGTGGTAACTCAGTGGGGATAACAGTATGAAAATAACTTACTCTTCACAGACTGGGAACTCACCACTCAAGTGGATGTTTCTGGCATACTTACAGGACAGTCTCTTGTTAACTATAGCTTTATATGGGAATCCCAGAAACACCAGCAAAACTAAATGCAAAAGTCAAGTCACATCCTTAAGAAAGTGAAAATCTTATCCAAATCTTTCTGGTAATGTTTGCACCAGCTGCTTTGCAGGATTTCAGCTAGTTTTATTTATGAGCTTGAATAAAAAAAGTCCTACAAGTTAGGCATGACAGTATTTAAGAAAAGCTAATTTAACAGAAAAGCATCATGAATTATGAAATAGTTACAATAGTTAATCAAATTGTACATCAGAAAGTTACATATACATTTAATCATAAAACAATATTTTCTATATATTATTCAAACCCAACTTCAATATTTGTTCTGATATAACAGTGATACTCAAAAAGTGATATTCAGTTTTTTACCCCTTTACATGAGTACACTTATTTTCTCTATTTTTATAGGTGCAAGGATGCTTATTTGGATACCAATTCCACATCGGTATGACTTTCAACATAACTTTAAATTACATTTTTCCATCCTGAATGCAAAAAGCTATCAACGGTAATAAACAGACAGTTCATCATCACTCATGTCTGAATCATCTTCATCCACTTCACCTTCAATGACTGATTTCTTGCCTTTGCAGCATGAAACAATTAATCCAATTAAGAAGACCTGTAAATTTTAAATAAGTAGAAGATACTGTTACTCAATTAAGGGGCATACAAGGGCAATATATGTAAAATGAAATGACAGATGTGTTGATTCAGTGACAACTGCTGTAAATCATCCAACCTGATTCAGGGATCTTTATAATCAAAGTACTTACTGCAATGAATGCCCAGTTCCCAAAGTAATAGGCAGCACTGAAGAACCAAAATTTATGAAGGAAGAGGTATGTCCGAGTAACAATACACTGATCTAAAAAGGAAAGCAAATAGTGCTGATTAACACGGAACAAACAAAAATCAGTTAATTCCAATTTATAGGATAATAATTCAACAGTTTTGGAGACTATTCAGCTCTGCAGAACAATCACATTTCATTAAATCAAATTTACTCTCCTCTACGAAGGAGGTATAGAAAAGGAGTATTTGTTATGGGAGAGAATGTGAAAACAGGTAACACTGAGCCAAGAGTTACAGACAACCCCATTACTATTAGGTGCAATTTCTCCTACAGATGTGTCAGTTATTGCCTGTTCTGACAGGTCCTAGTTACTCACTTCCCATTTGAGATCCACTGTAGACATAAGGGGGTACAAAGCAGATTCTGTATTAAAAAACACATTTCAGTACTTATAAAAAATGTCTCTACCAACATTGCATAATTCGGGTAAAAAAAAAAAAAATCAATTACTATGTTGGGTCATGTAAGCAAAAAAAACACCCTACCACATACTGGCCTTTCATTACCCAAATAGCAAAGGGCATATTTGTACCCTACCCAAAACCTGACAGTACTGGTTAAATCTTAGGAGTAACATCATAAATATAGCCACATCTAAAGACTACTCACGTAGTATTCTCCATTATGCCATGGCAGATTTTAACAGAATTAAGATTTAAATTGTCAAAGCATTCTTAAGACTGCAGACAAGCAGCATAAAGGCTTGTGTAAGACACCAAGCCTGTAACATTTAAGAAGTTATGTCAGAGGGCAGCCAGCAGGACACGAGCCACCTGATAGATCTCTCCAGTGCAAGGAGAGCTACACTGAGTTCATGCTAAGGGTATAACACAATCTGCTGGTTCTCTCATTTACCAGGCTTCAAAGCCCATTTCAGAGCAGAAGCTGGTTATCTAACCAATCTGAACACTAGAGAAAGCAAGCAACCCAGAATTTGCCTGTTCTTCCCTCATTTCTGACCCCAGGTTTAGAAACAGCCACTAAGTGCAGTTGAAGTAGTTTCCTATCTCCTGAAGTTGGGAGTGACACACAGCTGCTTATATTTTAACCTTTATCAGCCATCTAACAAGATAGTAAACTGACAGTCATCAGTTTCTGAAGGTAAATATTTTATTTAAAGATCCAACTTCCACATCGGGTAACAAGCTTCTTTACCAATACCACATATTATAGCACACTATTTCCTGGGGAGAGAAGAGTTAGGAGTTAAGGGCATGTCTTTTTCAGGAAAGTCTGCTGCTTGACCTTGCCAAGATGATCCCCCCAAAGCAAATCCCTATAGTGTCTTAAATGATTGTATCTAGAGAGAGAAACATCTCCATTCCTTCAATGGTTCTCCAATAAGTTATACTTTAAAACTAACAGAACAATTTTAAATATTATGTTAATACTAGTTTATGCAGCAGACTGATTGCTGGAATCTATTACACAGCATCAGCAGACAAAAAATAAGTTAAACTAGATTTCACTACTATTAGACATAAGGGATACAACATACAAATAGGCACATTCTGTAGATAATTAAAGTGCAAACCAGCTTAATTAGAGAAAGCATGTTTCTCCACTAACACACACAGAGTGAAAGTACATGGAAGGAATTTGGCTCAACTAATCCTTCCTGATTTTCCAGACTAGATCTCAGTTATGCGGAGAAATCTGATTTTTCACCTTCCCTTTAACACCAGCCAATAGTACTTACCCTACAAAACAGTGGAAAAAAAAATTGTCAAGTAGCACACCACTCAAAACATTCTTTTATTCACTAGCATGACATGTCCATAGAAAAGGTGAAGTTTCCGACAAAGAAAGAAATGGCGGCAAAGTGAAGATGCTTCATAATTGCAAACAGTATTGTCAACACCATCTGCAGCATTCCAGCTGGTTACTTCAATTAAAAAACAGCTCAGAGACTTTCAGATGGCTCTCTACAGTAATTGGATTAAATGGTAAATATTATAGAACAGTTTGACCTTGAGAAAGCATTTCGGTGGAATGTGTCATAAGTTCAGCTAACTAAATTTTAGTTATTTTTTCTGAACTAAGATTTTACTAAATAGGCTGACATAACACAATGTTTTTAACCAACATATTACACACTATAACATAACTTAGCATGTTAGATATTGATAGAATAATGAATAACCTGAATTAATATAACTATTATCCGGAATGATCATTGCTAATATTACTGACATATCCTGATCATTTGGAACAAAAGTATACATGGAAAGCTACCAAGCCTCTGATAGATAATGCCAGCACTTTAAGAATACAGCATATCATGTAGTGCAGACCAAAGCCAAACAGTCAGAATTCATGACAAAATATTTTTTAAAACAAAGGATGACAAGTGCTAATAGCCACAACTACCTGAAAAGTCAACTATATTTTACTTCAAGTCCATTGATGAAGTTTTTAATTCCAGTGAGTTAGAAAACCCTTAGACTCAATGTACTAATATTTTTAACAAAGGCTTCTGAGAAGTGAGTTAGCTAGTTTTAGATGAATTACATGGATAAACACATTGGTTGATAAACAAGTCTCAAAGCCTAAAAAGTCATTTAATGCACAGAAAACCTCAAATTATGAGAACTTATTTACAGATAATGAGGTCTGTCTAAGTTTTCATAGAAGCATACAGAAGGAAGGTTTCTTAAGAGTTTCTTAGAAGACTTGTAAACTGTTGTGAAGAACATAGTTTAAACACACTGGCATTCTTTGAGTCAAAACCAAGGTGCACACTTCTTGTACCTCTTCATTAATCAACTGGACAATGAAACAGATTATATCCTCTGTAAATGTGTAGATCAAACTGGGGAGAAGCGGGGACCAGAGTCCCAACACACTAGATTGTAAGATTCAGAGGGAGCCTATTTTTCCAGCTCCTTGAAACAGTCCTCCAAGTTCAACAGAGAAGTCCTGCACCTGGAACAGTGACACTATGCCACAGTGCAGGCTGAAGACTTAACAGGTACAAAGCAACTTTGTAGAAAGTGACCTCATGTCCCAGCAGACAAGCAGAATGTGTAGTTACAAGTGTTCACCCTGCAACTCAAAAGTGTAACTGAATACCAGGCTTCACTAACCACCAGCAGGTGCAGGGAAGTGATCACTTCCTTCTACTCCAACTGGAACCTCATCTGCAGTAGTGCCACTTTGGGCTCCTCAGTAAAGAAGCAGCACTAACATACTGAAGTAACTCGAGCAGAGAACCACTGCAACAGCTGGAGCACATAGTGTACAATGAAGATGCATTTGTTCAGCTTGAGGTAAAGGTGTTTGAGGTGTGTGACACCTCTATCTAGTGGGGGCCTACAAAATACAGGTCAAGATTCTTCCTAGACCTGCATCAAAGGACCACAGATGACTGTTGCAGCAAGAAATAGTCCTATTAGATAATAGGGGAAGCTTCCCCATCATAGTTAAACATTCAAGAAGGCTACTCAAAAAAGTTTGAGTCTAAATCTGTGAAGACATTCGCAACTGGATGGACTTGAGCAATCTGCATTCCATGACCCTTGCTGGGAGGTTGTAACAGACTATCTCAAGGTCCTGCGTGTGCTCAGAATCACTGCAATTCACATTACATGAAGGCAGATGTAGAGATAAAGCAGATAGAGCTAACACTAAACATGGTATTTTGGATGGAAAACTCAAACTGATAAAGAAGTTTACATGCCCATTTCAGTAGAACCTAGTTTTGTTTAAAATACACTCAAAACTACTTGCAAAGAAAAACCTGCAGCTTTACTGTTCTAGAATGTATAGGCATCACATATTCCAAATCCTAAAAGCACTGAAGGCACAGCTTCAGGTATCCATCCAAGAACACTTGGAGCTTCATATAGCCCTGCTGCCAATCATTCAAAAGTGTTGCAAAAGCAGCTGCTGCTTGCAATCCAGCTTGCAACATAAGCTTCAGGAAAGTGTTTGGTATGCTTCCAAAGTTATACATCAAGTTCCAAAAGGTTTGAGATTCCACCTAGCAAAGTGTATTTAAGGGAAAACCTGCATGTCTTCTGCACAAGCATTACTTCTGGGCCTTCATCTGGCCTCAGTTTTAATCATTTAATTTGGCCAGGATCGTTTATATGGGTTGGTGGTTAATGCACATCTCTGATACCCTGGATGCAGAAGAACTTCAACAGCTATGACATCTTCAACACATTCTTTCTAGGGTTTTGTTGACTTCTAGTATTTCTTATTGTGCTACTGAGATACGATGACACAGCTATTTTACTACTTACTGACACTCCTGTATGCTTCGCTTGAGTTATATGACTTAAGACAACCAGCATGTTGTATTACAGATCAAAGAACATTCCCATAGGCCAAAGCAGTTCTACATTACAATAAAACAAGTCAACTGCCTCTAAGTTGTTTTAAAGAGACTCATGTTTTCTTACTATAGCTTTCCTGCAACAACACTAAAATGCATTTTACAAATACAGTAAATAACCACAGCAAGAACAGTTGGCTTCAGATGTTATAACTCATGGAACACAGCTGGACACACTACTCCTTAACACCTCCTTAAATGTTATCTGGCACCTACAAGTAGTATCAATATTAAATGTTTCTCTGCTGTAGTGTATCAGTATTTTAAAGGAAGCAAGACAAACATAGCATTCCTATGAACTAGGCAGGTACAGGGCAAAGATTTCAGGCTTGAAAACTTCAAAATAAAGGGAACTTATTAACTGGATATCTTATCTCTGACAAGACAAGTGTTGTAACTCAGACCACTTATGAAAGACTACAGAAGTAAGACCCTTGTATTGGCTATAGAGTACACAGACTAAGAGTCCTATTACTTAATTTTGTCTTGCAAGTCAACATTCCATTAGGGAAGTCATACAAAGTGTTATAGACAATTTACAGTAATCAAACAGACCAAAAAAGTTAAGTAACTTTGCCCATACAAAGATACTGTACAAGAAATGTAATGGCCCACAAAATCATATGATACCAGCTAGGTAAGACACCAAGTGACATCTAATGGTCTAAGACAC